CTATGCAGCACGTTTCAAACGTATGCACGAGCAAAGCGGGAGACCCCCAAAGGCCGCATTTTTCTGAGAATGCCTTTCCTGAGGTTTGGGGTATAGAATGAAAAGCTGCGGTATAACTGAGTCGGAAGTGTTAGGGTCATAAATGGAGGATAAGAAGGAACCTCAAAAAAACAGGAGGTGTGAGTAAAGATCCCAATTTGCCCGATCAATTGCCAGGAGGGCTACGGAAAGGGGTGAATAGGGAAAGGGAAGTTTTGAAAGATCGGAAAATGTCGCTTCATGAAAATCTGGTAGAACTGACCAGGTGAAATCTATGCAGTGGGGAAGAGCAACTTTGATCGATGCAGGAGAGTAGAGGTAAGGATCAAAATGGGGGGAACCCCATTTAAAAATGGGGGGGGTGAGGGCGAGAAAAGCCCCAACTGAAGCCACTTGAGTCACAATGAACCCCCCCCCGAGGAAATGGTGGGCATTAAATTCACCAAATAAAAAGAAAATGGTGGGGAAAAGGGGAAAAAAAGAAAAGGGAAAGTCTGGGGTAGAAAAAGCTGAGAAGGAGAGAGATTAAAGAACATATTTTAAACCACTTTTTCAAGTGGATAGGGGTGCAGTGTAAAACAGGAGGTATGGCAAAAAAGTTGACAGTCGGAATATCATTGCGTTAAAAAGGGACTTTCATTAAAGGGGCCCCCTGAGAAAGGATCCGAAGAAAACAATAAATTAAAGCCTGAGTAGGTTGGAAAACAGCCAAGTGTAAATTTTTGGGTTTTTGAAGCAAAACCAAACAGGGGGGAAACCCGGAAAAAACTCTGAAGCTCACCCCCCATTTTCCCCCGAGGCCGGGAATTCCCTGTAAATAGGCCCTGATTGGGGATGAAGAAAATTCAGGAAAACTGTAGGTAAAGGCACCTCGGATAAAAGGGGTTAGAAAATCACTGTGGGGGCATTTGGAAAAGTTCAAGTAGCGAAGGGAAAGGGCGTTGCGAAGAATGGGGGGGTGAAAATGGAGGGAGGGAAGAAAGGAACAGGAAGTGAAACAGTGTCCATTGAAGGGTTTAGTCTTGCCCCAAAATTTTTCTGAAATGGGTTTAAGTTTTTGAATTTCAAAAATGTATGGGAACCCCCAATAGGAAGAAGGAGGGGGTGGTAAAATTGGGAAGTAATGGACTTACCAAAATGAGGGGGAGGGGAAAAAGGTGTAAGGGACGGAGATGAAGTGGGGGGGGACAGAAGAGGGAGAAACCCGGGGGGTGGCAGAAGAGGGAGAAACTTGGGGGGGGACGGGGGTGGGAAAGGGATAGACGAGGGGGAGGGTGAATTCCACATTGTAATAAGCCAGAGAGGGGAGAACTGGTCGAACGGAAAGGTAAAGTGTGGGGGTGGAAGAAGGGAAAGGGAAGGGGGGAAGGAATTTGGCAATGTGGATTTTTGGTTTGATAGGGGGGATTGGTATTAGGTGTCGTACAAGGGCTTGTCAAAATGGGGCTTGTAGGAAAAGGGCACAAGTGTGAGAAAAAAACTGATTGTAGTCGGGGCGTCAGAGCCAAGGCAGCAAAAGGATTGGCGTTGGCTATGGGAGGGGTAACAACAGAGGGGGCTGCAGAAGTGGGCCCCCCCAAATGGGGGGAGTTTGGAAACACGAGAAAAAGAAACAGGGGTATCTCCCTTGGGGCGGAGATGAGTAACTCCCTGCATAAGGGAGGCTTCTGCTCTTTTAGGCAAACGGATTTCACGTTCATTTAAGTAGACCGCAACGGCGGGGGTACGAAGGGGAGCTTCTTACATTAAGGGAAGATGGGGGGTTTTACTGCAAGATGTATTGAATGGTCGTCGGGACCCCCAGACTGGGGATTCGGCCATAGAACTGCAAATTTCGCTGGGTGACCAAAACGCCGCAATTTCTACATTGCTGTTGTAGGTATCACCTTTTGAACTTATAACCGATGTCCCGCGACAATCAGAGGACGGGGGTTCTGGGTGTCAAAAATTAAAAGAGCCACATTGCAAGGTAACGTCTCCCCCCCCGGGCAGGGAAAGGCCTAAGTGTTACTTTGAGGGTTGGGAGATCCTGAAGTTACAGCTTTCAAAATGTCATTGCCCCTGACTGGAAAATTTTTTGGATTTTGTATGGGGGAGAAGACAGTACCACTACAGAATTTAAGAAAAGTTTTCAATAGTGTAGGGTAGTAAAAATTTTACTTTGGACTTGGGTTTTCTTGGTCCCCTTTTTGTTTTGTTACTGAAGTTGAATTTAGTGAAAGGGTCCCTTGGACTGATCCATTTTTTTGGGCTGAGCCCGGCATACAGTCTGAAACCCCGATTATGTTGTGATCCGGTATATTGTTTTTGATATGGGGACTTTGTATAGTATCATGTTTTTGTGAAGATGAGGTCTGTGTATTTCCATCAGTAGGCTCTATTTTTTGTGGTTTAAGTTGAATTTTGTGCAGAGATTTTTAAAAATGTGTGTGTGTGTGTGTGGGGTGTGTGTGTGTGTTGTGGTTGTGTGGTGTGTTGTGTTGTGTGTGTGTGTGTGTGTGTGTGTTTTGTGTGTTTGTGGTGTGTTTGTGTGTGTTTGTGGTGTTTTTTGTGTGGTTTTTGTGTGTGTTGTGTGTGTGTTGTGTGTGGGGTTGTGTGTGTGTTGGTGTGTTTTGTGTTTTTTTTTTTTTTGTGTGTGTGTGTGTGGTGGGGTTTTGTGTGTTGGGTTGTGTGGTTTAGTGAGTGAGTGAGTGAGTGAGAGAGAGAGAGGAGAGGAGAGAAGGGGAGAGAGAGAGAGGAGAGGAGAGGAGAAAAAGTGAGAGTGAAGTGAGTGGTTCTCGCTGAGCTGCCTCCTGGTGGTATCACGCAACAATATTTTTTTTATTCCTCCCTTTTAGTGCCTTAATTGAAACCCCCAGGGCAAGATTTTGGGGGAGGGGCTGGAAGGTTTTCCAGCATGGTCAATTTTCAACGCTGTCCCCGAAATTGTTGGGACAAAAGTATCCGGGGGCTTGTGACTATCACAAGACTAAATTTGGTTCTGATCTTTATGCTAAAATTTCGTACATATTTGAAGCATTTAGCAGTTCTGTGCAAATAAGTGTCTGCGATATACAGGCCAACCCCCCCTTTTGCTTGTTCACTCTGTCGCATCTGTATAGGTTGTAACCTGGGATCCATATTTCGTTGTCCAAGTGATCCTTTATGTGGGTCTCTGTAAAAGCTGCGAACATTGCATTTGCCTCTGCAAGCAGTCCACGGATGAAAGGTATTTTGTTGTTCGTTGCTGGCTTTAGACTGTCATCGGATTGGTGGTATTGGTGGTACGGGGGGGGGGGATTTTTTTTTTCCAGCACTAATATCTGTATCTGTTGGTTTGGAGTGGAGGCCATCGACTGTGATTCCACTCCAAAATGACTAGATTTGGTGTATGATTTCTGCCATTTCCTGCCAGTTTTTTTCCTTCCTGGCACTTAAAAACTTCTCCCTCTTGAGTGGCTGTGTCTACCCAGGTTTTCCCACGGTCTGGATGTTTTGTACCTTTTTGTCCCCTTTAGATGGTGTGCCTGACAATTTAAGTTATAGCACAGTCTTTCCTGTACTGAAGAGGGACACATTTCAGGGTGAAAAAGCTTACAGGAAGGGATTTTGCATTTTCCTGTTGTCATATGGGCACGGCATTTTCAGGGAAACCGGCAGGCCGGACTTGAGTCCTGGAGATGGGAAGTACAGTGCCTGCACTCTGAAGGAGGGGTGTTAATGTTGCAGTTTAAAAACTGTAGTGTAAAGCACCCTTCTGGCAAGACAGTGATGGAGTGAATGATGGTGAAAGTTTTTCTTTTTCGGGCCACCCTGCCTTGGTGGGAATCGGCCGGTGTGATAATAAAAAAAAAATAATTTTCTAGGGTGGTCATAGTTGCACATCCCATCTGTTTTTCCAGATATCCCATGTCTGCAGATACCAAGTGCATAATATGTGCACAGGCTTGGTTTCCATTTGCCTTGGATTTTTGTGGCTGTATTCCCTGTTGGTGCATGTTTTCCTGTCTCATTCCTATCCTCACTAGTATTAACAATGGAGCTCTCACCAGTTGTTTCTGGTAATATATCCTCACTATTACTAGTGGAGTCTCCTTGTTTGCTATCTCCTGTGGTATTACTAGTTTGTAATTTTGGTTTTATCTTGTCCTTGACTACACTTGTTTCCCCACTACAGCTCCTGTCTCCCTCGAGGCCACTATATGCATTTCACCATGCATACAGTTACTGTCTACCAGGACAGCATCTCCAGCCTTACAGTTCCTGACTACATGGCCAGCACCTCTAGTCATACAGTTACTGTCAGCCAGGACATCATCTGCACCAAGGGTGATAGCTCCATCCAGCCCAGACTTTTTATTTTCCCATCTGTTATAGAATGCTTCCAGGTTTTCTATGAAGGCTGCTTTGATGTTATCCTCTTTTAATACAAATGTGATTTTAGTCCACAGATTAATCTCATTTGGGCATACCCAAAAACATTTCCCTGATTTAATACCTCTTGTAGATAATTCTTGGATATCTGCACAGGGGGCGGGACACCAATTTCCACAAAGGCTGCATAAAATCCATGTGGAAGCTCATTTGTTTGTTTGGTTGCAAACTACACAGGATTTCATAATGTGATTTTTAATGGTTGATTTACTGTGATTCTACTAATAACCTCTTGAATATTCTACTAATAACCTCCTTAAAGTGAAGATCTGGCTATTTGTATTTCTCTTTCTATATGTACCTGTATATTTGGACAAGCTTACCGCTGTAAGATAGTTGTGTGTTTGATAAGGGCGCCTAAAAATCTTGAAAATCTTTTACTTTTGTTCTGGCAATATTTGTGATATTTGCTGGTAGCAGGTTGAATAGTTTAGGGTCATGGATGTTGATGTTGTTTTCTTACTGTGCCCATGGTGCCCCTGCTTTTCACTGGATTTATCATGAACTTCTATCCATATCTTTTATCTAATATCTACTTTCTTCTACAGGCACTGCCGTACGTTTGTCTTCTCATTGCCATGTTGTTCTTCATCTACGCTATTATTGGGATGCAGGTAAGCTCGCTCCCTATGCTTTAACAATGCCAAAAAATTGCCCCATATTGAAATAATTTAATAGAAAAACTGGGCACAAAATTCAGATAAAAAGACAAGTGACAGTTGAGCCAGATTTTAACATGCTGCTTTTGGTGTTCTAAAATATACATGTAATACATATTGGTCAATATATAATATTCAGGTTAAAAACCTTATGGCCTTGGTTTTCAGTGGAAGTATTGTGAGAAACAAGTTTTTTTTTTTCTCTTATGGCTCTTTTCATTCACCAAATTCAACTTTGATTACTCCCTTGTATTCTATCACACATAACACTGTAAATGAAAGATGTTGATGTGCCATATTTTACGGTGAACAAGATGCTCCTGTGTCATGGATGCAACCCCTCCCTCCCCCCTCACCACCACCACCATTCTGATTGGCTAAATTTTGGGAAAACAGATACATAATGGTACTTCAGCCTCCAAGATGCTGGGTATATTTTCGAGACTTATTTTGGAGAAAAAAAAAATAGTGTCTGATGCTGTAAAATATGGTGTGTACTGCATAATTATATGCTTCATACTTCAGTGAAATAACTGATAGATGCATTTGCACTAATGATAGACAATTCTTACACATAATATATCCTTTATGTAGAACTCATTTTGTTTCAAGAATATAAATCACTGTATCATAGCCGGGACAATTTACAACTATGTAGCGCACAGTTCGAAGAGGAAACTTTCAGCACCATGTTGGTCTGCCTGAAATTTCCTCTAAATTGTAAATTAGTTTAAAATTTTTATTATTTGGTGATAAAACCTCATTTTTTTCATAATTTTGCCATTTCATACTAACATAATGATTCAAAGGTAAATGAAATTTAGATTGTGAAAGCTTCATCTCCTGAGATTTTTTGAGCAGGATGGGTTGCCACTTCAAAACACACTACAATATTTATATATTTGCCACACATAGCCCTTCAGTGATCATTATTTTATTTTAGTACAGGAGGGCCCCCCCACTTTTACAGCTGTTAGGTTCCCGACTCCTGGCGATAATTGAAAATCGCCGGCGAGTGAAAAAGAGCCTTTTATTCATTATCAGATACATCTAAAATACCTGATGGTCACCCTTCCTTTTGCAACTGTTGTGTGAAAACAGATGGAAGGCGGAAAAAGCATCGAACATAATAAATAATGGCTTAATTGAAAACCAGCAAAAATATGCAGCACCGAAAAGAAGGTGGCAAACATGCGGGGTCCTCCTGTATTCCAGTATACATTATATCGTTTTTGTTTTTTTCAATTTTTAAGAACATACTCATTTTTCAACCTTCTCAGGTTTGTATAAATGGCTTTTATACTTTTATAGTAATTTGTCTTATTTAAATCTCTGTTTTTTTCCCTTTTCCATTAATAAAAAATGAAGTTGATTTTGCAGACATTATTTATTTTAAGTCAAAGACACTTTTTAAATTTCAAAATTTTTCTAATACACTATACATTAATCAACAATGTTTGTTCATATTTTGAAACATAACTTCCAAAATTTTGACTTTTCAGAGAAACTTGTATAAGTATTAACTTGCACTACATTATCTCTAATTCATATTTTTTGTTTTATTTGAAGAATCTGTTCCAGAATTACAAGTTCAAAATATTCTCAAACAATTTTATTTTTATTCTCAAATGTGAGTAAGAAATTATTATCCATATGCAAATAAAAATTCTGGATTTTATTTTATAATATCTCTTCAATTCAAAATTTTCAGAATAGAATAGGAGAGAAAGTTTGTAAAAAATTAGATTTCAGATTCTTCCACATTCTGATTTTTTTTATATAAATAAAAAATTCCAAATTAAATTTTGAATATTTCTGTTTTGGTTCATCTTTCTTGTATTAGAGGAGAGAGAGAGAGAGAGAGAGGTTTGATTCCTATTACAGTAATATAGTCTGATTTTGTAAAATTTGGACAGACCTATACACACCTGGAGTTTACCTGGAGTTTACCTGGAGAGAGTTCCGGGGGTCAACGCCCCCGCGGCCCGGTCTGTGACCAGGCCTCCTTAGGTCAGTGTCCCAGGATGCGACCCACACCAGTCGACTAACACCCAGGTACCCATTTTACTGATGGGGAACATAGACAACAGGTGGAAAGAAACACGTCCAATGTTTCTACTCTGGCTGGGAATCGAACCCAGGCCCTCGCCGTGTGAAGCGAGAGCGTTAACCACCAGGCCAGATAAGATACAGGCCAGATAAGATACATATCATTATATTCTCTACCCTAATAATTAACAGTAAGATAAAATAAGTGGCATTGGTTTCCAGGTAAACTCCAGCCTTCCCTTATGTCATAGCTAATTCTCTCTGAAAAGTTATTCAACAGATATTTTGTGCATTTCCATCTGGTTGTATTATTGTATAGAAAAGAAGATGGCTGGTAACCAAAGTATTTAGAGAATGTTCTGCATATCACATCCTAAAGAGAATGTAGGAAATACATGAGTGCTCACATGTGTTGATGCACATCTCTGAGGAGCTAAAGTTTCCTACCAAGAGTTCCTCTGTAGGTAAATGCTTGTGTTAATGCATCAAAGTACTCAGCTAATGTATTTTCTTATTTTTGACTGTGGTATTGTTTAATACCAGGACTTGAGTCCTGCAGGTGAGAGGTACATTGCATGCACTCTGAAGGATGGGTGTGGTTATTTGCAGTTTTGAACTGTAGTATCAGCACCCCTCTAGCAAGACAGTGATGGAATGATTGATGGTAAAAGTTTGATCTTTTTTGGGTCACCCTGCCTAGGTGGGAGATGGCCGTTTTGTTGAAAATAAATATACACACACACACACACGTACATGCACACACACATGCACACGCATGCTTGCACATGCATAGCAGTGAAAGCCAAGTCTGACCCAAAACTGTAGTACAGTCACATCAGGAAGAAAACTGTCAAAGACCAGGTAATCGGGCTGAGGAAAGAACCAGGGGAGTTTACAAGAAACAACCTTGAAGTATGTGAGAAGCTTAATGTGAGATTCAAAGAAGTATTCACAGTGGAGACAGAAAGGACTCTGGAAAGACAGAGTGGTGGGGTACACCAACGAGTGCTGGACACAATACGTACAACCAAGGAGGAGGTGAAGAGGCTGCTAAGTGAACTAGTTATCTCAAAGGCCATGAGGCTGGACAACATCTCTCCATGGCTCCTGAGAGAGGGAGCAGAGGTGCTCTGTGTACCACTAACAACAATCTTCACCATTTATGAAAACAGAGCAACCACTTGAGGTATGGAAGACAGCCAATGTAGTCCCAGTTTTTAAAAGAGGAGACAGACATGCAGCTTTAAACTACAGACTAGTGTTACTGACATGTATGCAAAGTCATGGAGAAGATTATCAGGAGAAGAGTGGTAGACCACCTAGAAAGGAATGATCTTATAAACAACAACCAGCACAGATTCAGAGATGGGAAATCCTGTGTCACAAAACCTACTAGAGTTCTGTGACAAGGTGACAGCAGTAAGACAAGAGAGAGAGGGGAGGGTGGGTAGATTGCATTTTCTTGGATTGCAAGAAGGTTTTTGACACAGTTAAACACAAGAGATTAGTGCAAAAGCTAGAAGACCAGGCAGGTATTACAGAGAAGACACTGCAGTGGATCAGAGAATACCTGACGGGAAGGCTTTAGCAAGTCATGGTACATGATGAAGTGTCAGAGTGGGCACCTGTGATGAGTGGGGTTCCACAGGGGTCACTCCTAGGACCAGTGCTGTTTCTGGTATATGTGAATGACATGATGGAAGGAATAGTCTCAGAAGTGTCCCTGTTTGCAGACAATGTGAAGTTAATGAGGAGAATTCAGTCAGGGGAGGACAAGGCAGGACTACAGAGGGATCTGGATAGGCTTCAGGCCTGGTCCAGCAACTTGCTCCTGGAGCTCAACCCCACCTAGTGCAAAGTCATGAAGATTGGGGAAGTAAAGTAAAAAGTAAAGTAAAGTTATTTCTTTGTAAAGGTTACAATGTGTAATTACAATTTTGATTTGCTAAGTACAAAGATAGCACTATCATGCTGAGGCATATTGGGCAAACTAATCCTAATACATAGTAACTAATTAAAACTTAGATATAGTAATATACTAATAGTAACTATACTTAATAGTAACTTATTATGTACTTATTAAACTAGACAAGAAGTAATGGTTAACTGTTTTACAATCTTATTTAAACTTAATACAAGTGAGAGGTAGTAAGGTGGAGAAGGATTCAGTAAAATAATCTTGAAATTGCACATAAAACCTACCTTACAAGTAATGGTGCAGGTGGTAATATTTTATGGATTGGCAGAATTAAAAGCCAGGAGGTCACATAATAAAATTAATTAGCAAATATTTTGGCTGATTTGGTTAATATTGAGAGAGAAGATGATTTTATGGATTGGCAGAATTAAGAGCCTAGAGGTCACATAATGAAACTAGTTAGCAGATGTTTTGGTTGATTTGGTTAATATTTTGAGATAAGATGATTTTTTAGCAAAGTTCTAAATTTATAAGCTGTCAGGGGATCCTTGACCTGTTACGGTAGTGAGTTGCAGATCTTTGGGCCCTTTATGTGCATAGCTTTCTGGCATAGTGAGAGACTGACTTGAGGGATGTTGAAAAGTGCCTTGTATTGTGGCTGTGCATTCTGTTGTAACTGTCAAGGAGTAGTTTTAGGGAAGGGTTTACAGAGTACAGTCTAGGGGGCCAAAGATTACAAACCTCACTCAAGGAAGAGGATCTCGGAGTGTATATAATACCGACCACATGAATGATGGTGAAAGTTTTTCTTTTTCGGGCCACCCTGCCTTGGTGGGAATCGGCCAGTGTGATAATAAAAAAAAAAATAATAATCTCCTGAGGTGCATATCAACCAAATAACTGCTGCAGCATATGGGCAACTGGCAAACCTAGGAATAGCATTTCAGTATCTCAGTAAGGAGTCATTCCAGACTGTACACCATGTACC